ATAGCTCAAAGGCATCAATTCTCTATATTTTAGGTAAATTTTTTACATGTCAGTCTCCCTAGATGACAGACGTTGGGTCAGTTTTCCAGCTAATATCCCAAACACCTAGCCCACTTGCTGACAGTTTATTGTTGTTGTTGTTGTTGTTAATTGCTGTCAAGTATGACTCATAGTGACCCTATGAACAACAGATCTGAGCCTTGTGCCATCCTGTGCCGTCGTCATCATCTCTGACATACTTGAGCCCACTGCTGCAGTCACTGTGTCAGTCCATTTCATTGAGGGTCTTCATCACTTTCACTGACACCCAATAAACATATTGCTTGAACTTTGAAGTAATATGAGTGAAGAGTTTGAATGAAGTGTTTGAGTGATGTGTTCAGTCATCAGGAAGTGACAGAAGGTTGGAATTAACCTATGTGATCCCAGCACACTACATGGACGCAAGGGATCAGGCCCCTAAGGATAAACTGAAAATGTGCCCTCCTGTATTTAACCCAGTGGCAGGGCCTCCTATTTGGTCCTCTGTGGTTTCTGTGACTGTAGGATTGCCAAGGTCTTCCTGACTTGGCAAGCTTTCCTGATTACTTCATTGACACAGCCTGTGAATTTGACCGTGCCTTCTTGTTGCCACATTTGTCTTGTGAGGAGAGTTCTTGGAACGAGGCTTAATAGACACTTTCCTAGATCTCCCTCCTACTGTCCTGCCTAATCCAAGTTCCTTTTGATCTTGTGCCCTTTGTTGCAGGGTCCGAGGGATAGGACTGGTGTGAACTGACAGGCAGAGAGCTCCAACCCATCCCCTAAGTTGGAGAGTTCTTACTGCTTTCACTGCCAGTGCTGTTGGTTGGAGTGAGAGGTCATGTTTCTGTGTTACATGATTGTACTGTGATTCTGTAGTGGAGGTGGACCCAGAGTCCTTGGCTTTGCCTGTCTTTGTTTATACAGGAGCTCAGGACAGGTGGATCTCAGAGGTGTTCCTCACTGCTTCCGTTCTAGGATTCTAGTATGAAAGTTACATGATTAGCAGACCTCCATAGCTCTTGGCCCTGCTCTCTGGCTCTGGCTTATTCATATCCATTACTTTTTTTACTTTTAATGAAGAACAGAACCTTTAGATAACTGGCCATCAGTGAAGCAAGTAGCAGATCATCTGCAACATACAGAAAATGTTGACTGAGTGCTTGACTAGTGGGGTGGTGGGGAGCACTTGGGGAGGAGTTAGAAGTTCTAGCTCCTAGTCTCCAGTGTGTTTCTTTGCAAAGCTTTGGGTTCCCCTTGATAGGGCTGCTCTGTTTTTCTTTGATAGAGTTTAAGTCAGAGAATGTTGCAAGCGTGTGAGGTGGCACTGAAGGCAGAGTGCTTTAATTCATGGGATCTTGAGGCAGTGTGGCATCTCTTTCTTCTACTCTTGAAGACCCGTGGGATCAGGGAGCAGTTCTTAGGACCAGGAGAGACCAGGGAGTTTCCATCAGGATTGTAGTGTCCTGCCCCAGCACATGTGTGCCTTCCCTCACTGCTCTCCTACCCTGCCAGGGGGTCTTCTCAACTAAGATAGGCTTTGCTTGCTTTTTTTTTTTTTTAAATTTTATTGGGAAAAACATGTTGGGGATACAAGGAGGTGAGGGTTGGGAGCAGAAGGGTGGGGATGAGGAGGGATGAAATTGTAGGGATGCCGTTGCAGGGCTGTACAATTTGGTTGGTGGGGGGAGCAGGTGAAGGAAATGAAAAGGATCCAGTGAGGACAGATGATACAGGGCAATGGTAAGCATAGTCCAATGGTGATTAAACAAACTGTCTTATTCACTTGTGGGTTTCTCATTTGGAAATTGGGCGCAGACTGTCTGGCTTCTTCATGCTGAACAGGGGTGTTGATGTGAAGGGGGAAAGGGAGAACACTATATCACCTTGCTGGTGGTCTTGGGTTAAAGCTGCTTACCTTATTTTTCTGTTAGAAGATATTTTCCTGACATTTACTCCCCTCTGGACTACAGAGTGTTTTCCCAGGTGGGTCCAGTGGGGATGGCTGACTGAACCCTGAGGCTCCATCCTCCTTTGCTTCCTTAGCTGGCAGTTGTATTTCCTTTTTGTCTCAGGAACTGGATTCAGGGTCAGGTCTGGAGTAAAACTGTGTTAAGGTTACCTATAGAAAAGGGAGCAAATCTAGAGAGAACAAACTTGTGAGTTACAAAAAAAAAATAGAAGGGTTTTGGGGGTGTTACGGGTGTACTGGGGGAGAGAGTGGAGGAAAGTAGCCTGGATAAAATTCTCTGTACACCCTAGGCAGTTTTTCCTACCCAGGGGTCAGATGGCACAACCTGAGGGCTGAGGAGCTCACTTCAAGGGCTGGCTTACCCCGAGGGCCGAACACGGCTCGCCCTGGGGGCCCAAACACTGAGGGCTGGGTGACACTCCCTAGGGAGCTGGCTGGCACACCCCCAAAGACCCCCCGCCCAAGTCCGGACCCCACGCCTCACTGAAGACCGTGTGGCCAGGGACAGCGTCCCCAATTCCAGCACTACCTCCTTTAACCCGCCCCCACCCCAATAAGTGATCATATTGTAATTTGAAGTAGGTGTCACTACCCTCCCCCTTTTATAAATGGAGAAGGGAACCTGACAGTGGTGAACACACACACACACACACACACACACACACACCCAGTCTAATCAGTTCTTGGCAGAGCCAGCCAACAGATCAACAGATGCGGTGAATTGAGGATATCTGCCGTCTTGGACATGCTGCCACTGTTAAGTGTCGTCAAGTCATAGATAGCTCACAGTGATTCTCATCAATCCATTGTATTGGTGATCTTACTCTCTAGCTGTCCATCCCAGGTGAGGGGATCCCTGGGGTTCAGTGGTGGGAGCTTCATGGAGCTGCGGCAGCGGTGCAGGCTCGGCAGCAGGGGGCTGGGAGCCGCGGGACTCACCCATTCCTTCCTGGGAATCCTTGATCTCCTGCTGTTGAGCCTCAATCTGCACCAAAGACCAGTCATCAACTGTTTAATTGTTCAGTTATCAATAAACAGAGGCCTGCAGAAGGCCATGGTGGCCCTCCTCTATGTGATCTACTGCTCCTGCAGCTCGCCATGCTGTTTCTTAGGCTTTGCTTTTTCAACAGCTACTTGAAAACAAAAGGAAAAAACCTAGATTAAACTCAAATCATAGTCAAAATACAAGGAATCTACTTTATAGGTACAGATAAAATCAACAACTGCAGATGCAGTATCTATTACAAAGGTGATATATATTCATTACAATTTCAGTACAGAACAGCTGGCAAAAGGGGAAAAAAATCACCTATGATCTTACTACCAAAGACGTCACTAGCTTAAATGTTCTGTTACTTTTCCTTCTGATGTTTTTTCTTGCATGGATTTGGGCTTGTCTTTATGTATGATACCAGCCATCCACTTCTGTGCCCTGTTTTTGACAATGTTATAATCTTAAACATGAGTTGAGTGGTTGTCTATGTAGTATCTGGAGTGTGTGCAATGATTTAGGTAGACATTTTCCTGTCATTTGTGACCAGCATTCTTCTGTTGTTCTTTAACAGATGTCTGGGAATACCCTTTGCACCAAACCAGCATCATACTTGATGTTCCCTTTTTAAATCACTAAGTCTGTATCAAAGCTGCTTCTGAACTCCATAGCTTTTTTTTATTTATTAAATTTTATTAGTTTTAATGAACATTTACAGAGATTTTGGGTTTTCATTCATTCATTGTTGCACTGTTTTCTCCACTCTCTTCCCCAGTTCGTTCTTCTTCCCCCCCCATGTCTGTTTTAATTGTCCAATTGCCACAGTGCTTGTCAAAGCCAGTTCTGATTAATCTCCTTTGTCAGTGTGTCCCTTGCCATTCCCTATCACTCCTCCCTGAGAGAGACTTCACCCTGATTCATAAGGAAAAGGGGATGGTGCATTCTCTTAGCTACTTCCTGCTGAAAAGGGACGCTGTGGGTTTCAGGGTGAAGATCTTCTCTCACTACTCTAAAGGGCCCCTTTGGCAGTAGGAAACACATAGACTGTTATGGAGATTGATTTTGGAATTTAGATGCACTGTTATCAATTGTGCTTAGCTGTACATGCTCATATCCTTGAGGATGTATCATGGAAGTGTTGCAGCCTTCAAACTGCAAAGCAGCAAGATGTTCTTTCTTTATCTTGAGTTTCAGCTCATTTTTCCTTTGCATCTCAGCGATTTCCTCTGGGGTGGCTAGTACAGATGATGATTCTGCTACAGGTGGTGATTTACCTGAATTGCTGAGTCAACCGAGGGCAGGTCAGTAGTGATGCAGCTCCCGCCGGCTGTAGTGCATCTTTTCACCACTAAGCATAGTAGAGTTCCTCCAGCAATCGGGTGATGAGACTATCCACATTCAGCTCCCCGTCCGCCATCTTGTTGGCACTCGATTCGGCTTCCCGGCAGCGGGAACAAGGGGTTCTGGGCGGCCGGGACTCCTCTTAATCGCCAGAAACACCTTCTGAATTTAGTTCATTGTTCGTCATTTCCACTGAGTCAGAACCAACTCATAGCTGACCCTCCAAAAGGTTTTCAGAGGCTGTAAATTGCCTGGGCGATTGCCCATCTTTCCTCTCCAGATCAGCTCCCAGCGCGCGCAAGGCGGAGCGAGGAGCCCGTGGCCGTGGCTAGCTGAGCGGTGAGAGAACCTGCCTCGGCGCCGCCGCTGACAGGAGGACCTGAACTCCATAGCTCTTGAGCACTATCTCTGAGTCCTCCTCATCCCCTTTGTCCTTGATGTTAAACCAGCCCAGTCTTGTGGTTCTGCTGTGTCTAACTTTCTTCCTAACACATCTGTCATCTTTCTTTTTCTCCCCTCTTGCCTAGCGGAGATGAGATAGAATTAGCTTCCAGAAGTCATCCTCTACTCAGAGGTCCCCCTGCCACCTGGCCTCTTCTCCAGAAAACAGGCTTCTTTGTGCCTTTGGCTTTGGCTGCATCTAACAGTTTTTCTTCTCTTTTTGCTTTTCTCCAGTTCTACAGTGAGTCGGGCATGCCTACCAAGCACCTTTCGGACAGCGTGTGTGCCGTGTGTGGGCAGCAGATCTTTGTGGATGTCAGTGAAGAGGGAATCATCGAGAACACGTATAGGCTGTCCTGCAATCACGTGTATCCTGCAGTGTGTGCACTCTAGGCCGGGAGGGAATAGTGGGGAGGGTGGTTTTAACCCTGGATATTTGTGAGTGTAGAACCGCAAAAGGGCAGAAATGTCGGTGACTTTCCTGCTAAGAAAACAGGTCCCTGGTGGTAGTTTGAGCCCACTCAGTGGGACCTCAGAAGAAAGTCTTCGCAAGCCACTACCAAAATAGCAGGCATTGACAATTCTCTGGCGCTCACTTCTGTTCCGGCACGCACGGGATTGCCAGCTCAAATTAACATCATGGCAACTGCTTCTGGTCCTGTGCTGGAGAATTTGATACTCAGTAAGGAAAACTTGAGCCTTCCTTTCTCTTTCCCATGGATTGAAGCCACTTTATGTAAACACTGGCTATAGCTTGGCTAGGTTAGAAAGAGCATGAGGCTGCACTAGCTGACTCAAGACTGGATCCCTCACAGGACAGGAGGCTGCTCTAACCAGAGCACCCAGATTTTACAGTCAGAACCCCCTGGATGGCACTTTTGACATTTAACGTGTATTTACTCAGTCCACATCCAATTCCTGTGTTGAAATATTCATGTATTATCTTTGTTGGGTTTCATAATAAATGCTGTAAAATAAGATCTTTACCCTCACTTCACATGTGAAGAAAAAGGTTTGGAGAGAAGGGATTCACCCAAGATTATACAGCCACTAAAAAGTGAAGCCAAGATTGGGCCAGGCTCCGTGATGTGCCGTGGTCTGGAGTGCCACCTCAGTGCCGGCCATTTCCCTTGACCAGTGGTACTCAGATTCCACGAGTTCTGCATCCGCGGCTGGTGCATTGTGGGCAAGAAGCAGACGTGTCCCTACTGCAAGGAGAAGGTAGACCTAAAGAGAATGTTCAGCAACCCGTATCCTTTGTTTAAGACCTTGCTGGGAATGGGCCGTGGGAAGAAAGGACTTTCAAATAACCCTTCTGTTTTGAACAGTAGAAAAACCTTAGAGATTGCCTCATCCCAACATTTCTGGGGCCTATCTCCCACCCTAAACCTGCCATGTGTCTGCCACTCCACTCTGTATGGTTTCTGTTCTAGGGAGAGTAGGGGCAAGACATGAGAATAACAGCTCAGCTTTCCACCAGAATTCTGTTTACCTCAAAGGTAAATTGATTCTAGTAGCCACCTTTCAGTTATTGCTTGATTACTGGTTGAGTGCTTTACTTGGATCGGTCCATGTAATAGTCTAGCAATTCTCTAGTAATGTCATCATTTTCCAAGTAGTTTAGAGCTCGAGTAAATGGTTTAACCTTGTGCATTAATGGCCTGCATCACATCTGTGGCATGCAGTACTAGAACCCAGCTCCGTGCCCGTGCAGGCCTAGGATGGCTGAGAGGCTCAGCCGCTATCTACTTCTGGCACATGAGCTGTACTTCTCTGAGCTTCCACTTCCTACCTAGCCAGCCCTCCCACTCTGGCCTCACCTTCCTCTTGCCCTCAGGAAGGTTCCCAGTCTTCTGGCTTTACCTTCACTTCCCCTGAGCTCTAGGACCCTGGCTTTTTAGCCTGTCTCTTCTCATATTTTCTTTGTCTTTACCCCTACTAGCTGGACTGTCAGGGGAACTCTTATGTCCCCAGCTTACTCCATAGTCCAGCAAATTCTTCGAAATCTTGCCCATCCCCTCTCAGGTTTCTCCAGACTCTAGTTGAGGAACAATTCATTTCATGGCCATGTGAAGACTTGGAGTTTCCCCCAGTTCTCAGGGAATCAAGTTAGTCTGTCTTTGCCTCTGGAGCAGTTCCCCCACAAGCGTGGGAATTTCCCCTGTACTCTCCTTAGAGGCTCCCAGACCCTGCTCCAGGTCACTTTCCCAGCATTTAGCCACAGGGCACAAGAAAGGCTGTTAACCTTTAGAGTCTCTTGGCTTCTGCTGGGCTTGGTACCTTTCGATGGTGCCATCTTAAAGCCTCTGCTGCCTGGGTCCCTTTCCTTTTGATTCTCCATAAACTTAAATCTTGGTGTAGAAGAAGTACAAACATGGTACTTCTGAGAGGCAACGATGGGAAAACTTTGTCTCATATTCTCCGGATGTGTGGTCAGAAGTCAGTCCTTGGAAAAAGATGTCATGATGGGAAATGTGAGGGTCAGAGGAAGAGGGGAAGACCCTTAGCAAGGTGGGCTGACACAGTCCCTGTACCAATGGGCTGTCAGAGCATGAGGATGGCGTGCGATAGAACAGGGGTCAGGTCTGTTCCTAAGGTTGCTGTGTGTCATAGTCCACTTGACAGCACCTGGCAACACCTCAAAACATAAGCTCAATCCCTTCTTTAGGAAAGCTTTCATTTTTAATATTAGAAGAACCTTAGGAGGACCTTATCCCAATCCCCATGTATTATCTCCACTTTGCCTCATAACAGCCCTACAAAAATAGGAATCCTTATCCTAACTGTAGCCATTGTCGTAGATGTATTTACAGCAGTCTCAAACTGTGTTTTCTACAAAAAGCAGTCATCTCAGAGAAAGTGTTACACAGGAGGCTTTCCCTGAATAGTGGGATGGAGAGCTTGGTTTCACTTGTACCCTTTTCTCATGTCTATTCTGTTCAGCCCTTAGAAAACAGCTGCCATTCCTCACAGGCTCATTTCAGTGGGACAGTCCAGAGAAGAGTTAGAAAACGCCATCTGTCTCCTAGATCACCTGTAGCTGTTTGTACACAAAACCTCTTCTTTAACATGTTAACAGCTGGGAGAGACCACATGTCATGTATGGGCAACTGTTGGATTGGCTTCGGTACCTGGTAGCCTGGCAGCCAGTCATCATTGGCCTGGTACAAGGCATCAACTACATCCTGGGCCTGGAATAGTTAGGAAGAAGGAGCATCACAGGAGAACCCACCCACCCACCATGGACCTTAGGGCACTATCCTTCCTGCCCACAAAGCATCCTGGGTGGGAAAGACTCACAGGGGCAGTTGGGCCACTCAGGATCCCCTCTGGCTGTGTCTGGACTGGGGAGGGTTATAATGGAGAGCCAGCCAGTGGGCTGCCAGCAGTTGGGGGCTTTTTAAAAGAAAACTATTTTGATGAATATATTTAAAAAAAAACCCCAAAACCTTTTTTTATTGTGGAGCATATAAATTGCCCCCAACTCCTCTAGGCCTAACTCTTCTGCTTGTGCAGAACCACTTTTTTTTTGGTGTGAAGGGGCCTCATCTCTGAGATCACTGGTAGGTTCTCAAGTAGCTGAGGACCTCTGTCTCTCCATTCCCCTCAAGGCGGTGATGTTGGGCCGTGGGGGCTTCTGTTGACGGCAGTGATTGAGGGCTCCTTGAGCAAGTTTATGCTTCAACCTGGAAGTGGTAATATGTTCCAACGGACACTCTGGTGCACTGCCTCATCACTTCCTTCTCTGAAAGCAGAGTACATGTGTGCATGTGTGTTCGTGCTCAGATGGTGGCAGATGTGGACCTTCTTCCTGTTACCAGTCTGCTGAAGCTGCAAGCGATTCTCAACTAGGGAACGCCCCTGTGTGAACATCATCACAGGCAAACAGGCAGCAGGAGTGGTGGGTGGCAGGGAGAGGGTAAGACTCAGTGTACTTGGGTTCTGGAAAGAGGTTTCCTGGCAGGCCTCAGCCCTAGTTCAAAGAATTCTGAAGTAAAGAGGCAAAGATCTTCAATACTGGGTTCCTAAGGAATATGCCAGCCCCTTCAAGGGCAGCAAGAACCAAGCGAGATCTTGTCACTCTGGTCTGAATAAAGCTCCATGAGCTAGGTTGGAAAGCTGAGGATCCATCTGGCTTCTTTTCTTCCTACATTTTCCTTTGGGGTCCCCGTGAGTACCTTGCTGTTGCTGCCTTTGCTCCTCCCATCTGAGGGCGGGGTGGTCTTCCCTGACTTCCCACCACTCCCTCTCAATATCTGGAAGGAGTGGTGGAGTGCTGGGCCCCTTGGAGCATCACTGGGTCCCCCTTAACATAGGTGACTATCCATCCTTCCAGGCATCCATCCATCCATGATGCTTGGTTGGCGAAGAAGAAGACCCTCAACCAGGTGGATTGACATGGTGACTGTGTCACTGGCCTCTAAGGGTGTTAGAAAATGTGAAGATGGCGCAGGACAGGGTTTGGATCTGTTGTTCATAGGGTCACTGTGAGTTGTACTTGACAGCACATAAAACAACATCCGTCCTTACCGCTTGAGGTCACTACTCTGCTGTCACCCTCACTCTGCAGGCCATGCCTGACCTAATGTGCTCTTCACCCTGCTGGAACTTTCCACTGTCCCCCTCTGCTCATGTCACTTGTTTGTGGCTCCAGTCTTGGAGGTAGAATGGGGACTGGTTGCAGGGCACAGGGTCATCCACCCTTTCACTTTTGTCCTCACTATCCCTGTACCAGACTTATATGAGAAACTGTCTAAGGCTGTGCTTCCATACATAATGGTCTCATGTGTTCACAGTGATCCATTTGGTTATATTCCGTGATGGAGCCCTAACTCCTCTCTACCCTCCATGGGATACCAAAAAAGATCATCTGACTTAGTTGACACCTACAAACCAAGCCCAGGACAACTCCATCCTCCACTCCAGTTGATCTGAAAGTTGATAGATTACATTTTGAAAGGGACACTGTATGTCTAAAGCAGAGATACGAATCCAGCTTTTCCATAAAATTGGTTTTCTAGCAGGCTGTGTTCCTGATGTCCTGCTAAGACACCTGGGGGTTACCATGAGTCCAGACTAGGTTTGATGGCAACTGATCTCTTTGGTTTTATATTCCTGATGTGTTCCCCAAAAACCACTTCCACCTCCTGACCTCCCTGACTATACCCGGCATTCTCATCCTCCTGGTCACATGCATGACAGACCTCAGGCTCTATGCTCTTGCCTTTCTCCTGACACGTGTATGTACATGGATTGGCTCCCCTGGGCCTGGCTTTGCCTCCACAGATCCACCACCTTAAATGTACCCAGGTCTCCTCACAGCTCACCCATGTGAGTCCCCACTCTGCCATGGCCCTCCAGCCAGCCCATGCCACAGCTCCATTTGTCATTAGAATTACAGGAGGTAGACACATCTTTGTTGCTACTGTCAGTGCAGGGTTGGTTTTTCCTCGGAAGTGCCCTCCCCCTGCTCTCAAGGCCATTTCTCTAGATTTGTTCCAAGTTTCGCAGCTCACTGTGAGATTTCTTCAGGCAAAGCAGGGAAGCACTCTGAACTTAGCCCCTTGGAATGGTTCACATGCACTGGACACAGATGAATGGGGCCTTGAACACCAAAAAGAAGGATTCCGAGGAAGGAGGGGCTCTTTAAGGTTTCTTGGGAACCAAGTAGGGGGAGTCTAGAGAACCTGTACTTCTAGCTTAAGTGCCTAAGATGAAAGAAGGGAGGCGTTTACAGGTGTACTAGGGGTTTGGGAACCATGGGGAAGATGGTTGCGGTGAGTGGGAGTCAGAAAGTCCAGGATGTGGGTATGTTAGCGAAGCATTGAGCCTGATGTCAGAATGTTCCCACTTGGGAGTACTTGGTCCCCGGGACTGCTGACCCTTGGATATCAGTGTGGATGAGGAAGAAGCAGGCCCACTCTGAAGCGTGAAGGTTGGCACCACAGCCCTGCCTCTTCTCCAGGATGGACGTGCCAACCACAGTGGACCAAGACCAGTTCACTCACTGTGTGACCCTGAGAGTAGGATGTGAGGGAGATGGAGTGAAGGCCCTAATCTGACCTCTGGAGAGTAACAGGAAGGTTCCTGTCTGCTGTGAGCTTTGGTTCAAAAAGAGTTGGACACAGCCAGGAAGAACTTGAAGGTTTAGGTTTAAGAACCTGAGGTCAGCAGTGCCTGCTCTGGATACCTTGAAAGTGGAAGTGAAAGGAGGTAATATTTTTTCCAGAATTTCACTACATCTCCTGCCCTTTCCCAGAACCAGCTCTGAGAAACAGTTAGCTCTCATCCACCACAAGCAGTGAAGAGAGCATTGCCCCTGTGTGAGTAGGTAAGTCCTTGGCCGCTCTTTAGGCATTTAGTTTCTCTACCCCTATAGTGAAAGAGGTAGATTGGACATTATAGTATATTAATGTCCAAAGTGAAGGGAGTAGAAGGAGTTGTCACTAGATAATCACCCAGCCATATTCATATTTCTAAATGATTAAAGAATTCCAGCCTGTATTAGATGCCTGGTCTTTAGGCGTTCCCAGCTGAGACAGCTGAAGAGTGAAATCGAGTAAATAGCCGTACCTGGCAGCTCAGTTCAGACTTAGTGAGGGGCTACAGGAAGGAATGGGCCACATGGACGCCTTCAGAAGGGAGGCGTTTATTCATAATTTTTTCCCACATCCCCCAGAGAAAGGGGGAAGTTGTCAGAGAGCCAGGAGCACCAGCACCTATGTGTGCACCATGATTCTGAGACAGCCTTGGATACCAGGTGGGACCCGGGGCTGGGCGTGTGCATGAGCGGGATATGGGGCACGTGGTGAGTAGTCTTCCTTCGAGGTGAACTCCGTCCCACTATGTGTGATACTGCTTTAAGCCTCTGCCTAGGTGCTCTGGTCTGGCTCTTGCTTGACTCAGAAGAGGCTAAAGGGTGAAGGCAAAGAGGTCCTTCTGATACCTGAGAAGATCCTTGGAATCTGGGATACACAGGCAGTAAATCCCTTTCCAGGAAGGACCCACCCTTTTATAAGTCAGGATACTACTGAGTTTTGTCAGGAGTTTGGACAGCTGGCTGACCTCACTGCCTATCTTTTCCTCAGGTTTCAGGCCCTTGTGGGCCCTCCTGTGTGTCTACATCACTCTCCAGGCCAGAGCGACACCCATGCCTCAGAGCACCACAGCTGCCAGTGCCTCCGCTGGCATCACACAGGACCCCCTACTCTTTGCCCACAACAGTCCCAGCAGCTAAGCTGTGCCCAGCAGTGGAAGTGACCTGGTCAGAAATTGAAGTACCACTGAGTAAGGACTGGTTATGCTGGGAACCGTGGGGGACACAGGGTCAGGGTAGGGTGGACTTCCCCACCATAAAGCCCACCACTAGCAAGGCCAGACTGAGTGCTTAGAGTTCTCCATCCTACTCCCCAGAACTGTAGGTGAGGTGCAGGGTCCAGCTTCCAAGCTTTCCCTGGTCTAATGGAGAACATTTAGGAATAAGGAATGTCATAGGAACTTGCGTCTTGCTTGCTTAGGCACCCCAGTACCTTCCACAATACCTTGCCTGCATACTGATCACCTTGTTAGTATTACCACCTTGGCCTGAGCTCCCAGTACCAGAGAGGCTGGGTACTAGGAAAGGCCATCCTGAGGATTATGAGGAAATACACTCAGAAGAGAAGTCATCACATAACCCAAGGGCCCATCACCAAATTCTCTTTATTCAGGCAGGTAATGACGAAAAATAACAATACAGGACTCTTTCGAGGCCCTGTAATTGGAATGAGTCCACTTTAAATCCTTTCACGAGGATCCATTGGAGGGCAGGTTTGGTGATTGGAGGGCATAGGCATGTGTACTTCCCTCTTTTTGGAGTTTCCCACTTAGGTGAGGTGTACAGGAAGATTGCAGGTTCCTGACTGTGGTGAGGTGGGCAGGGCAGACAGCACAGCAGAGGGGAGAGCCTGCTGTGCGGAAAGACTAATGGCCAAACGTGTCCCTAGATGGAATGCTGACTGTCCTGCACCGGCTGCAGTCGCTTCCCCTTCAGCATTCTCTACTGGAGCTCCCAGGCCAGCTGCGGGAGGGCCCCCTCAGGTGAGAGAGGAAGCAACAGTGAGGCCTGTGGGTGGGCAGCCTTCTGTGGTGTAGTTCTCTCATGGCCTTTCCTGCATACTCCACCCTCTCCAGCTGGGAGCACAGGCGTACAAACACCTGGCTGTGGAGGGCCTTGGTGCTGGAGGAGCTGAGCCCTGCCCTATGCAGCACCAACTTCTGTGTTCTCGTGGATCCCGCACAGATTGCCCAGCATCATGTCATTCTGTCCCAGCTCTGGGTGAGGCACTGAAGGGGGAAGGCTTCTGGGCACAACTACAGTGTGTGCCACGTGGCTGGTGGGAGGGTGGAAGTACGGGTTCTGCTCAGAACAGCTCTGTAAGTCATGTCCACTGGAACAGGGGAGGCACAGCCTGGAAATTCCAAGAGACTACCCTCCACTCCTTGGCCCTGATCTTTATCTGCCTTCATGTTTTTCAGGCTGAACCGAAGACAACTCTGCCTCCCACTCAAGAAACCCTGCCTTCCAGTCACCACCCAAGCCCACAAGTGCCATTTCAGCAGGGTAAAGAGGCAGCAGGCCCAGCAGGACAGACCCCTAGACGAGAATGTGGGGCCCTCCTACCTGGGTGGTTAACAGGAGGGCAGCATTTCCTTCCCACCACACACTTGTGCTGGCCTTCCCTCAGGAATCCCTTCGTCTGTTACTGCCTCTCATCTGCCTAGAGAACCACAGTACTTTCCTAAATGCTTCCTCCTCCTGCCTTTTTCTTGATGTCCTGCCCGTGACACCACTGTTCTACGGTTCAGAAACCTGTAAGACCTATCAGGATCTTAGTCCCTACCTATATGTCTAACAACCCTCCAGCATGTCTGCAAGTATTCTTACTTGCTCCTTTGATCCTCTCTGCCTAACCATCTCAGCAGCTGAATTGTTAAATCTATTGTGCTGACCACATTCTGTATTAATAATACAGTATTTAGTAATGTTCTAGTAATGTTTTGTTTTTATTTCACCCCCTATAATGGGCTGTCCTAGAGAAGAGACACTGAGAGAGGCTGCTTCTGATCCACAACTGAATTTATATAGGCCCTCCACTGTGGGCATTCATAAATGATTATACAGGGCATCTTTGGCATCTGCTCATTAAGGCTCAAGTTCCACTTGCAGGGTAGTGGCCTCCCCAGAAGGGAGTATTGGAAAGAGACACACATTCGGAAGCTAAAATTTCAGGAGTTGACATTGTCATTCTGACTCCCAAGACCTTGAGGACAGAATTGCCCAATAGAGTTTCCAAGGCTGTAATCTAGATGGAAGCTGACCTGTCTCCCTCAGAGCACCTGGACCCTCTGGTCAGTGGCTGAGCCCTGCCCCACGCAGCCAGCAGAGCTTCATCAGGGAACCTAAAAAGAAGCAGGCCCATCGAGCTTCTCAGAGGGAGAGCCAAGAAATGGCTTATGGGCAAGCACTCAGGGAAGGGATCTGATAGAGAGCCCATAGCTCCAGAAGACTGAAAGGTACACATGCTCCAGACAGCCCAGATCCCCCTTGTTCACCACACAGCTCAAGGAAGCTCAGCACTTAAGGGCAAAAAATAGACTTTATTTACAAGTAATAACATTTAGAAAAGATCCATCCCTGGCCCTAACAGCCTTCCCATCACTCCAAATCCCACCCCACCCCACCAGGCATGGGGCACAGGGTATGGGAGGCATCACTGTCTCTTGGGGCTTGGCCACCATTGGCCCGGGAGCTGAGAGAAGGCACTGAGAGGGACAGGAGGAGGAGGACTAGGCGAAGTCAGCATCAGGGAAACAGGTAGGGGCCACTCATTGATACTGGCCCTTTAATGCTTTGCCTGAAAAAGAGAGAAACAGTCACCTGTCTGGGGAAGTCTGGTGATGCCACCCTGTACGAGCTTGCTCAGGAAACCCTCCTGCTCCACACAGCCTTAGGTACTCTCTCGGCCAGGAGAGATCGTCAGCCCTGGACAGTCTACTGTTGCTGCCAGTGCCTAATATATTCTCATTGGGTTGGAGCCATCTTCTCCCCTTAATAAGTAAGCAGTAACGAGGATATGGCCGTTGTCATGTATGATTAAGTGAGAATCAAGCTATATAGACTTGCAAGTGGATTTTTAGGGGCAGTAAAGCTCATTTTTCTTCTAAGGAGCAGCTGGTGGATTTGAATTGCTTAGCTTTGGGTTAGCAGTGCAATTCCTTACCAATGAGCCCACAAAATTCTTAATTAGGCCACGGAAGAACATCTTAAATCCCTCACCCTTTCACCCCCTGGCTCGGCCTTGTCTCAGTTTCTGTCCCCACGGGACAGCCTCTAGAGGGTCTTTGTTCCTTATCACTTGTCCTCCCCACCACAGTACATTCACCTTGCCCTTGGCGCGAGGGGTGGCAGCAGCACTGGTGGAGCTGGCTGTGGTGGCAATGCGCGGAGAGCGGCGTGTTCCACTGCGCGTGCTGGGGGAGGTCTTAGATGAGGCTTTCTTTGAGGCTCCTCGCCGTAGAAGGCTATTCCCGAGCTTCTTGGGTGTGTTGAGGATGTTGAAGGCCATTGACTGGCGCCGGTCAGCCTGTAAGGGAGGGCTGTCAAACTGGGAAACCTGCCAGAGGGCAGTAGGGCTGTTCAGAGGCTGCTCCCCTCCCAAACTAACCTGTTTAACAGCAGGGGCTGCTTTCTCTGGGGCCTTGGTAGTGCTCTGTTTGCGCCCCTCATGTCGGTCACGGTCACGGGGAGTCATGGGGCGTGGGAAACAGCTGGTGGCCTTCTTGGCCTAAGGAGAAGAGGAAAATCAGGCAAATAGGAAGAATCCGTATTTGAAGCCAGAGTTCCTGGCCTCTAAATTGCTTCTGATAACCCAGAGGGTTTTCTTCTAGCAGTGCTTATTCCTACATCAGGTCTTTGGACACAGAAGCCTTCCCTGATTCCACTTTTCCAGTCTGGTCAGCTAGGCCCAAGGGGCCTACATCACCCACCTCGGGGGTGCCGGGGCCCTGGTGAGACTCTGAGGAAACACGCTTGCGCTGCTGTCGGGTGGTAATGCCAGCGCCTTCAGTGTTCTGGGTGGGCTGCATGCTGGCTCGGCGCAGGGTCTCCTGGGGATCGCCAGTTTTCATCTCCTCGTCTGTGATGGTGGCCAGGCTTAGGGAATGCTGTGTGGGGTGGAAGGTGGTCAGTGGAGTCCAGCTGTTTCACAGAGCAGGCCCTGGAGTACCCCAGCACTCTCACTTTTCCTATCTCCAAAGCCTCCCCCTTCCTGTTCTCTTCACCACCAGTGTGGACACACAGTGACAGAGTGGACTCTTCTCCTAGAACTTCCTGAACATCCTTCTTGCTGGTCACCCTCCTCAGCAGTCTAGAGACACTAGCACTGATGCACTGAGGGGGAACGCCAAGGGAGGGAGCAATGAGCCAGTGTGGGTAGGTCCTACTCTGATGACCCCAGGGCTCACCCTGGACTCTACAGGATAGCAGGTCTTCAGGTGTGGGGGGCATACTCGATTGCGCCGCTGTAGCTCTGCAATGCGGTTCCAGTCATCAAGTTGTTCCGGTTCATCCTGGCAGGTGCCCATGTAGAAACTGTTTCTTCCTGGAAGGCAGGAAAATTGACTGAGTTTGGGGGGTGACCCATTGGCCCTGGTGTCTCGTCAGCCTTTGCTGTCATCACTTCCCCTTGGATAGGCCCAGCCCTCCCCTGACACGGAACTCCAGGTACAGAAGTGAGTGAGGCATGGGCACCCTTTCTACCTTGGGGGCTTGCTCACTGCTCTCCCTCAGGAGGTAAAAAGTCATATGTAAAGGCTAGTATTAATCATTTGCAAAAGTATGGTGCCCAGTACAAGAAAAACTAATTGAGAGTTAAGAACTGATCACCTAGAGGAGCTCCTAGGGCTCACAGAACAAACATCTCTAAGTCCATCTCTAAGGAAAAGAAGAAGCTAGCGTGACCCTTCCAGAAGGCCGTCATTACCTGAGGAGGCCCTGACAGACTCAGCAGCAGCTTAAGAGTGTCTTTTGTCAGGATCTGGTTTCATTCTAACTTGTTCCCATGGTCTCCTCACCTGAAGGGGGCCCACTGGACACCCTGGCCTGGGAGTGGCGGGCAGAGCTGCGAGTGGTGGGCCGGTAGCCAGGCAGGCTAAGCAGGGCCGAATTGCCATCATTGGTAGAGCTCAAGCAGGGCAGAGACTGGGAAGAGGTGGTTCGAAGGCTGGCCTGGGGCGCAGGGGCAGACTGTGTGCTGTGGAAGGATGAGTTGGCACTGTCTGGCTCCTCCACATCCAGCTTCTGGAAGACAATATGAATCCATGCTGTGGGTGGGACAGGATCCTGGTCTCTGAAAAGGTCCCCCGCTCCCCGCCCCTCCTGAAGCTCCTGGGACCCCATACAACATCTGCATATATTCCCACACTGCTTAGCAAGGGGCCAATATTTGCATTTCACTGCAGAAAATGGGCCTTGTTGCCAGAAGCATTCACAAGGTGCTGAGGTTGTTAAGACTTTTCCATTGACTCTTTGAGGGATAGAAAGCTACTATCAGCCCATTTTAGAGGTGAGGTGCAAAAAAATAAAAGGGATGGGCCATGGTCAAAGAGCTAAGAATTGGCAGAACTGGAATTAGAACCCGTATCCTGAGCACTAAGTTTGCCCCAAAGCCTCCACTGTCCCTTAGACCAAGGGCACTGACCATCTAGAGTTTCTTCAGCTTCTTGTTAGCAGAGGGCACCCACACACAGGTCTCCCTGCTGCACCAAAGCACCTCTCCTCCCCATCCTCCTCCTGGGACAGGGAAACAAGGGCAGAAGTCCACAGCCTGGCCGGTGACCATGAGACAGTTCAGCCCAGGGTGCACTGGGAAGCAGCTACGCTGCACCTTACCACACATTCTCTTCAGCCTGCACCAGTGGTGTACAAGGGGAGAAGGCTCTCATCTCAGTGACACAGATCTGATTGCAGCTCTGCCCCTTACTACCAGACCCTAAACCCATCACTTGCTTATTGGTAGAATATGGACTGATGATCCCTGCCTGCATCCTGAGGACCCAGAGCCTCATCTTCATCTCTGAAGATAAGCATGACTGTCCTCAGCCTGGTCACTAGAAGTCTGCAGCCTTTCCTCCCAGCAGCCTGACCTTGGTCATGGTGATGTTGATGATTTGTGTGGTGCGTCGACGAGCAGAGCGGGTCTTACGACCCGAGTCCAGAAAGTCGTCCCCCATGGAGTCCAGGCTGCTCTCCAGGGGGGCCTGACTCCGAGTAGAGATGGGTGTGAAGTAGAGACTCTCCAGGGATTCTACCTTGCGGGGCAGACGCTGGGAGATGGGGGATGCTGGCTCTCCAGGAACACTGGTGCCATCTGGCTGGGTACGAGGCAGCTTGCTGTGGAAAGGAAACCTGCTGACGTGCGATTCCGGAACTAGAAGGCGTTTGGTCCATTGCTTAGTACCCAGTTATCAGCCAGGAGACAAGATCAAGCACACCCTTCTTACTCTGATTTTTCAGAAGCAACAAAGAGCTCCTGGCCTGGAACCTCCCTTCAATTCACACTCTCTGTGGCTCATTGATCCCCCTTGGCTGCTCTTGATGCCTCTGCCTGAGTAATTCAGAGCCTGGATTTCAGACTCATAAATCCAATTGTCTTGAGACCTCCCCTCAATGCCTGTAATAACTTCACAATGAACATATTGCGAATCACACCCATTCATCTGGTCTTCCTTTTGTATGTCCTGTGTCAGTGAGCACTGTCCTCTACTCAGTTACTCAGGTACGAACATGGGTATGATCCCAACCACATCCCTCTCCTGCCAAACCCAATGTCCTCGCAGCTCTCTACCCATACCCACTCCTCCCTGGTTCAGCTTCATCTCTGTGCACAGACTGTCTACGAGGTAGATTGGTGACAGTGGCCCCTCTAAACCCAGGTTTATCTGTCAAAGTGTCGGCAAGAGAACTTGTCACAGAGGACTGCTGCTAGAAAGTGACAGTACTTTTCAAGTGCTTACAACTGGCGTCCTGTGTGTACTAAACCCAATAAATGTTTCCAGTCTTACTATCTAGTCATGTTATTTTCTATAATATAATCCTATGATCCAAATTTAAGCCCCTGCAGCGGTTCCTCAGTGTCTAAGTCGGAATGCCTGCCTCCCAGCTATCCCTCCTCTCCACCTTGGTGCCCACTGCTCTCACTGTTCACGTGCTCACACAGCTGTCATGATGTGGAGCAGGAGGGCCTGCCCCACAGCAACATGCACACTAGCTGTCTTCTCTGTGACCCATACAGCCAGCTGGAACAATACATGTAACGCTTTTATCCTTCTCAAAGAACATGCTTCCTGGGGCTAACAGGGCCTCATCTTCTCCCTCTCAGTAGTCACTGTGCCCAAAATACTGTCTGATAACAGGTTCTCTGAATACGAGGCTTAAGGAAGGAGGGTGCCTCTGACCTGCTGATAGCAAGCGGGGTCCCCTCCTCACAGCTCAGGTCCAGGCTATCAATGCTCAGGTCCAGCTGGGGCTTATTCTGGGGCTCCTGGCTCTTTAAGGCATCAGTAGCCACTGGGAGCTTGCCTAGGTCTCGGAGCTGCTGGTCGGCATGGGCAACCTGGGCAAGAGAAGGGTAGGAGGAGAATGAGGAAAGTGGGGAGGCTGGAAGCAGAGATCCACTGGGCAGGATGAGGAAACTGCAGTCACACACACACACCTGTGCCTCCAAACTGTGCACCTGGGCAGTGAGTTGGTGGCAGGTCTGCTCAGCCTCCTTGGTCTTCAGCGTGGCCTGCTGCAGCTCCCCGTCCAGACGTTCGGCTTCGGCACGCAGCTCCTTGTTCTCCTTCTGTAGCTGCTCGAGGCCCCGCAGCTGCTCCTGCAGCTCTTGGTTCTGCTGCTTCTTGGCATCATAATGTGTCTTGGCTTTCTCCATCTGTGTGGGCACAGAGGACAGGAGGTCTAGTGGGTGCTGGAAGCAGAGGCAGATATGATGGGCCAGACGGGGTTCCTCACCTGCAGCTTGTAGTGCTCAGCGGCCTGCTCCTTCTGGCTCAGCTGGGCCTGCAGCTCAGTGAGCTGGGCCTGGAGTCGCTGGGCCTCCTGCTGGCTCTCACCACCCTGAACCTGGAAAAGCTTATCATTAGGATTGGGCTGGATGCTCCACCCAAACCCACAGCTTGGCTTAGCCCCTTGCTCCCTAGCTGTTCTCCAACTAACACACACCTCCTCCCAACACCACTCACCCTGTGAGGTCTAGTTCTGTGAGAGCTATTCCTGGCCAGCCCCTGTGCCACCTGCTTTCTGACACATATATTCTAACAGACCTATCTTGGCCAGGGATAAATGATCTCAGTCTATGAGAATAAGGGCAAACTCAAAAGAGGAAAGGAAGCAATCTCAGGGGAGAGAGACCACAAGGAACACGGCACTTGGCACATGTGAGCTGAGGACACAACTCATTTATTATCAAACTATGAAGTAATCATCTCCATTTTACAGATGAAAACAGTGAGCTCAGAGACTTTTAAGCAAAATGACCAAGGTCACAATAAAGTTACTAAATAGAGAAAGATTTGAATCTTGCTTCACAAAAATGCAAGATCACCCAGAACACAGTCTCCTTCAGGGCAGGGGCCCGGTCTGAGTCTCTACTCACTGGCTTTGCCTTGCTCAGTGTTAGATGCTTGGCAGGGCCGTCCTGGCCTCTGCTGTATCTCTCAGCACAAGGCAGGCTCCACAAGGAGCATGAGGAAGGCACTTACTTCTTAGGCCAAATGTACGGTGCATAAGGAAGGTGAGTAGGGACTGTCATATCTTTACGGCATCAGTAGCAACTTGAGCCCCAAACAGCTCCTATAACCCATTGAGGCTTCGGTGAGCCCCAAAGTGGCTGAGAGTCATTTGTCCCTGACTAAAGTCCACAAAGGCCTGACCCACAAAAAAGCAAAATACTGAACACAATAAGACATGGTTGGAAACATGACCTTATTAAATTTCACTGTAATACTAAATATTAACACACCGCTCTGCGAGTTCAGATTATCTAGACCAGCGGTGTCCAACACCATTCACTGCTACAGAGAATGTGAAAGGTGACTAGTGTTGACTGAAGGATTTCAATTTCAGAAGCCCATTTGGCTAATGCCTACTACAGTGGACAGCAGAGGCCTAGAGGTATGGGAGCGCTGCTACCCGCCCCTTGAGCGCTCCCAGGAGGCACATGCAGGGTTCCTGAGTCACAGGGGAGCTTGGAAGGTTGCCTGGCACCCAGAGCCCCTCCTCTGCCTCCCCACCCACCACAGCTCAAGGGCCAAAGAGCCGCTCCCTCCCATCTCTGAGGCTGAGCAGAGGTAAGGCCTATCCCTGTGAGCCCACCTTCAGCTTCTGCTGCTGCACCTTGCTGGCCTGATCATGGTCGGCCAGCTTCTTGTTCAGTTCTTCCACCTGAGGAGAGGGAAGGGAAGATGGAACAGAAGGCTCAGAACGCTGCCCTCTGGATAACCAGAGTATGGCATTTCCCAGGGGAGTGGCCCCAGTCCTAAATGAGGAAACCCTTTCTTTTTCTGGTTTCCAACTAGGTAGCAGCCTCACTGCTGACTATGCTGATCAGCATAATTATAATCTGAGCGAGGTTATCCAACACAGAGAAGCTCCTGAGCCACCTGCCATACTCACCTCCAGCCTGGACTACAGATCCAGGAGCTAGATCAGCAGAACAGACCCTGGGGAGCTGACACTTGACTGCCACCCTGTTGGTGTCACCCTGACCCAACCTTTCCCACAATGAAGTAGAAAACAGGGACCTAGTCTAACTCTAGCAGACAGATGCATGAATATCCATCCCACTCTCATCCAGAGACTGCCAAAGCTAAAGCACACAGACGCTCAGACCTCTTCCCATATCCATACGCTGTTAATGGCCGGTGGCAGCAATGTGGCCGCTGTGGTTAGCATTGGGGAAAAGAATGCTGGAAGACAAGAGCAGGGGCAGCACACATACTCAAAGCCCACCCAGTTCCCACAAAGAGCAAAGGGAAGCAGGAACAAGAGGGAACACTACGGCCACCCCAAGCAACCCTGTCTCCTCCAGGCATTCAAGGAGTTCAAGCATGATCAGGCAAAGGGAAAGGGTGAGGGCTCCATTGCTAACTGTTTGCTGTTCTCTGTTCCTCATCATCTCGTGCTCCTTAGAGAAGGTGACAGGAGAAGAGAGGAGAACCCAACTCCTTAGCAGGCCAGAGGGGACGATGTAAGAGGGCAGGTGAAGAATATACCCTTGTGGCCTCCATGTTTTTCAGCTCCTCTGGTGTAGAATCTTCCTGTTCCCAGATCTCTCCATGACACACTCTAAGGAAGCAGCCCTGACCTGGAGGATGCTGGCCAGGCACCCAAACTCCCTAACTCTGAGGGCTGCCTTGCATATCATCTTACGGCTTGATATGCAAGTGAATCCATTCTCTCAGAAGGGAGTTATGTTTAACAAGGCGTGTCTACTTACTATCCCTCTGATTTGGGTCTCCTCAGCTTAGTACATGACTTGGAGCATCTACAACCCCAACGATTGATTCTGTCTCTGGTTCAAATATGGGAAAGATGAGCATCCTACCCTCCTCCCTGACAGGCAGATGAGAGAAAGTGAGAAAGGTGAGGCGGCCGACCTGGGCTGGGTGGGATGAGGCCTCAGAGGCCCAGGGCACCGCACTCCTGGGCAGCCTGGCGTCCAGGGCTTGACCCTGCCCCCTTCACAAACAGTTCACAACGGGAGCTGGCGGAGGCAAGCTGAGCTGGGCCATGCACCGAGACTGGTCACCGCTTAAGCAGCCAGCATTTAGCAAGAACCCCAGGCATTACCTGCTTAGTTTGCTCTCTCTGAAATAGTTCTAGGTGCTCCACCTGTGCGCGGGGGAGGGGCAACGGAAAGAGAGTAAGATGGGGCCAAAGAGGACTGGCCTGGCTGCCCAGCTGACCTCTGATCCTTGCTCCCATGGCACTGGACATCTCATAATTTCAAAAATACCACTTTGGCTCATTTGAGTCCCCAGTGGCCTCCCAGACAGGTGCACCTCCTCACAGGTGTGCCTTTGGAGAGAGCAAATGACCCTCACAGCCTAACTCCCCAAAGACAAAGCCTCCAGAGCAGGGAAAAGAAGAGTTGTGGTGTTTTCCCCTTGAAGACAACATGGACAACAGACTTCAACACTACTCATTCTGTGCCATACAGTTAGTGATTGAGGGGAAGGCTTTTAACTATCTCAAAGGCAACAATGGAGCCAGAGGTCTGGGTCCCATCTGTCAGATCTGCTCTCTGGGTGTGGGGCAGGGGCTGGGCACCTTACCTGGGCAGTGAGTTTCTGCCTCTCCTCCTGGAATCGCTGCCTCTCCTCCAGGACCTTGACCTTGGCTCCCTCGTACTTGGCAGCCATCACCTCCAGCTCCCGGGCAGTGTTCTGTGCTTCCTGCCTCACCTCTGTCAGGCGGGCCTCTGCATCGGCTCGCACAGCTGCCAGCTCCTGGATGTACTTCTCTCGTGCCTGATCCAGCTCCACTTCCAGGAACTGCCGGCCAAGATTGGCCCGCTCCCCCAGGCCCCGGTTCTCCTCGGCCAGCAGGCCGTGGGCCTTCTTCAGCATGCTCAGCTGCTCGGCATAGCTGGCCTTCTCCGCCCGCAGCTGCTGGGTTGCTCGCTCTTGCTCTGCCACCTTCTGCCGCAGGGGTCCCAGCTCCCCGAGATCCCGCTGGGCCCGCATCAGCTCGGCCCGCAGCCCACCAGCTGCCTGCTTACTCTGCTCCAGCTCCTCTCGGTGGCGCTTTTCAGCAGCAGCCTGCTCGGCCTGGAGCTGCTGGCACAGGTGTTTGACTGGCAGCAGCTCGTTCACTGCGGCCTGCGTGCTGGTGTGCTCAAGCTGCAGCGCAGAGAGGGCCTGCTCCTTCTGGAAGAACTTCTCCTGCCATGTCTTCAGCTCCTGACCCAGCTCCTCCGCACGCTCTGCCTGCGATGCCAGCTCCTGCCGCAGGCTTTCTGAAGCCACACGCTGCTTCTCCGCCTCATCCCGGAGGCTCTGCACCTCCTCACGCAGGGCGGTGCTGCGCTCAGCTGCACGGGCGCTGCTGCTGGCTGTCTCTGCCTGAAGCATCCGCAGCCGCTCCTCCAGCTTCTGGCTCTTCTCCGACTCGGCTATCACCAGACGCTTCAACTCCTTGCTCTCACCCTCCTTTTCCAGGACCTGGCGATTCAAGATGGACACCTCCTCCTCCAAACTGCTGATGAGGCTGTTTTTTCTTTCAGACTCCTGCTGGCCCCGGGCCACCTGGGCCTTCCACTCTTCCTCAGCCTTGCTGTGGTCTTGGGCCTTGGAACGGTGGGTGGCAAGTTCCCTTTGGGCCAAAGCTAAGGCATCCTGACTGCGCCCCAGCTCCTGGGCTTTCTCCTCTAACTGGCCCTTCAGTGTGTCCAGAGCACTGTCCTGCTCTTTGCGAGAGGCCTGCTCGGCCTCCAGGCTCTGTTCCAGACGTGAGGCCGCCTCCTTATGCTGCTGGCACTGCTGCTCCAGACTGGACACTTCTGTACGCAGAGCCTCCAGCTCTGCCCCTGAGGGTTCTGTCTTTCCAGAAACATCTTCTCCGCTGGCTGTTTTGACAGACTCTTGGTACTCCTCCTCCTTCTTGGCCAGGTGTTCCTTCAGCTGTTTGAAGTCTTGTTGAAGCTCCCCCAGCTCTGTTTTCAAGGCCGCCTCCTGACTACGTAACTTGGCCAGTTCTTGATCCTTCCCTTCCTTCTCTTTCACGGCCTGCGCCAGAGCCTCCTGCACGGCTGCAAACTCCACACGCTGTTCATTGAGGGCATTCTGCAGCTGCATCTCCAGCTCGGCCTTGGCCGCCTTCTCGGAGGCCAGGTCGGCCTGGGCCTGGCTCCGCTCTTGGGTCAGCCGTGCCACTTCCTCCTCCTGCTTCCCAAGCTCCTCCTGCTGCCGGCCCTGGCTCTCCATCATCACCGCCTGCAGCCTTTCTAGCTCACTAACCATCCGCTCTGCCTCCTGCTCCATGGCCTGCAGCGTGGCCTGGGGGCTGCACACCTGCTGTTCTTCCACACACTCAGCCTTGGGGTGCTCAAGGGAGCCTACTTCCGGCTGCTCTCCCGACTTGCAGACCAGCGCTTCCAGACGGGCCACTTTCTTCCTGGTGGCAGCCATTTTCTCCTGAAGCGTGGAGAGGTCGTCAGCAAGCTTCTGGGCCCCGACCTCCTTCTCCTGGACCTGTTGGTGGGCTGCAGCCAGGCTGGCACGGAGCTGAGTGAGCTCATTCTGCTGCCGGCTTATCTGGAGCTCACTGTGGGCCTCTATCTCCGACACCTTCTCCTTTGCCTCCTGCAGCTCCTGGCGAGCCTTCTCACACTCATCCTTCAAGGCTACCAGCTGTTCCTGCAGCGTGGCACCACGCTGTGCCTCCTCTCGCTGGCTCTCCTCACAGCGCTCACGCCAGGTTGCTACCTCCTTGGCCAGCTGCTCATTCTCACTCTGGCCCCTGCGCTGGGAGGTGATGGCCTCAGACAGCTCTCGCCGCAGGGCTTCTGTTTCTGCCTGGTGGGCTTCTTCAAGCTTCTGTAATTGGGTCTCCAGTCCTTTGCGCCCACACTTCTCTTCTTCCAGCTGTTTCTGCTCCTGCTTCTGCTGTTCTGCCAGGCTTCGGGTCTGTGCCTCCAGCTCAGCAATACAACGCAGTTGCTCCTCCTGGGCATCAGCAGCCCGGCGTTTCTCCTCCTCTAGGCTGCCTCTGGTGGCCTTCAAGGACTCCTCCAGGGCCTGGAGCTTCTCCTGGAGTTGGTCATTCTCCTGGGCTATGCCCTCTCTCTCAGTGGCTTTTTGCTGTTCAGATCTCAGCTGGGTCTCCAGCTCTGTGAGCCGGGCCTGGGCTTCCTGCTCTTCCCGGTGCGCTGCCTCAACGCGGGCATGCAGTTCCTCAACCTTTCTGCTCAGATCTGCCTTTTCCTGCTGGGCTTGTGTCACCGAGGCCTGGGCACTGTCCCGGGCTTCATTTGCAGCCTGAAGCTGTTGTTGTAGCCTCTCTAGTTTGGCAGCCTTCTCCTTCTGCAGTGCCTCCAGCTGCTGGAGAGCAGTGTCCCTCTCTCTTAAGGAAGCCTCTCGCTCCTTGGCAACAGTGGCCAGTTGTTGGGCGTGATCCTTCCTATTTGCCATCTGCTCTTGGACTACTTCCTCCAACTGCTGTTCCTTCTGCTTTAGACTGCTGCTCAACTGCTCCACCTGGTGGCGGAGGTCCTGGGAGGCCTGTTCGTGCTGTTGGAGTATCTGGGTTAGCTGGGCCCGCTCCTTTTCTGCCTGCTGCTTCAGGCCAGTCAGTTCTTGGTCCTGCTGCTGGAGGGTAGCATTGAGTGTACTGATCTCAGAAGTCAGACTGGCCACCTGAGCAGTCAGCTGGGCATTCTGAGTCTTTGAGGCCTTCTCCTGGTCTTCCTTAGCCTGGTTGAGATTGGAGATAGAGCTCTGCAGGCCAGCTATCAGGCCAGCCAGCTGCTGCTTTTCTTCTTCAAAGCGGCCCCGCTCTGCAAGCAGCTGCGCTTCTTGCTGGCTCTGCTCAGTCTCCAGTTCCTGCACCTTGGCTTGGAGCTGGGCACAGTTTGTGGCAAGAGTGGCTGCCTCTTGTTTCAGGGCTTCCAGCTGGTAAGACAAAGAGACAAATAAGATGAGCAGGAATCCTTACCACTGTGCTGAGCCTGAGGCCACCCACCCCCAGCATTCTTACCTGCAAGACATCACCCAGCACCTCGCCCTTTTCCTGTGGTGGGTTCTCCTGGAGCTGGGTGGAGTGTTCTTCCAGTTGGGAAAGTTTTCCTTGAAGGATTTCATTCTTCTCTTCAAGGTATTTCTGGGAGTAAACAAGACACTCATGTGAACTCATGTGAACAGAGAAGGGGAGTCGACACAGGATGACCACACAGCTCTCATGGGCAGGTGACTATCTGCTTGTGATCAAAACCTCTTTTTGCCTCAGCCTATAAAAGAATTCAAAACCACAGACCTGGGATACGGGGGATCTGACTCTCTAACCCTACTCCAGAGCTGAATTAAGTTATAACATGAACTACTACTTCAAGGGTACAGATTTTACTTCCAACGTTCCTTACACTATAGCCCTCCCAATGTGCTCTGCCCGGGGGCCTAGAGGTAAGACGCTGCGCTGCGATCTCAGATGCACACATTTCTAATCCACCAGCTGCCCTTCAGGAGAAGGATGGGCATCTTCTTGTGTACTTTACTCCCTCAGGAAACCGGCTGGAGGGTCAGCTATGGGTTGGCTTCAACTTAACGGCACACAACAACAACATAGTCCTCCTCTGATAAATACTGGCTCCTGGATTATCCAACAATCAAAAATATTCCCTGATTCTCTAGGCATCGATGCCAAGAGCAGCACCCCACACCCACTTCCCACCACTGTTCCAGACACATACTCCAGAGGCCAGGCCCTGTGCTGGGGCACCTCTGCTTTCTAATCCAAATTACAAATCCGAGAAGTAGCTATTTACTATTCCCTTTCACAGAACAAGGCAGTAAAGCTCAGATGTTAAGGGCCTTTGCCCAAGTGCTACATTGTTAATAAGCAGCAGAGTTGGGTCTAAAGAGTAACATCTGTAATAGCTAATTCACTGAATGCTTCTTTTTAGGCCACACAATATGTTAAGTTTTATATGAATTATCTCACAATAATTGAGAATGCAGCTACCCTTCAAACCTGGAACTGAACCCACTCCCGGAGATCACTTTTCAGCCAAACAATAGACAGGCCTATAAAGTAAACAATGACACTTATGAGGACAGTACTCCAGTAATCAGCCACCTGACACCAAAGGGCAGCACGTGTCCCTCCTCCCCAAAAAGAAGGCAGGATGGGACAGAGAAGGTGGGAGATGGAGAGAAGGACCAGAGAGGACCTGGGAAGATGCTGGCACACTGAGAACACTGTAATTTATGTCATAAAGTATAAGTTGCTATAAAATGTCACCCAAACCACACATTAATGTATTTTTTAAAAAAAGAGAGAGAGTAGATAAAGCAGTTACTCTTAGTATGACTTCCATTTAGGGGAAAATGATGTCTACAGAGACTGAGTAAATTGTCTAAGATCTACAGCTTGTAAATAACAAAATAAAATCCAAACTTGGGTGTTCCGGACATAAGCCCACACACTTTGCTTTACAGTACACCACTAAACCTTGAGAAGTTCACTTAGTTACCAAAGACACAAGAGAGTGAATTTCGCTTTGAACTTATGGCCACGAACGCGGCCATGACTCCCTCGAAGCCCAGTGTTACCTTGTCTTGCAGTGCTGTGCTGAGCTCCTTCTCAAAATGGGCCTGCTTCTCTCCCCACTCGCGGGTGGCCTTGCCATGCTCCTCAGTCAGCTCGTTGAGGGCGCCCTGTAGTTGCTGTAAGTGACTGGCAAACTCCCGCAGCTGAGACAGACAGATGAGAATTCCCATTATACAGGGTCAAACTGGCACCATTACTGTCGATCTGCTTCCTGGTCTCCAGGAGCTGACAGCCTCCAACTAGCCTTTCAACCCTCCTTAAGCCAATCACAACCAATCACATCTTTAAGGGTAATAGTCCAGTATCCTACCCAAGGCACTTGATGTTTGTTACTGTTAGGTGCTGTCAAGTCAGATCCAACTCGGAGCAACCCTATGTACAACAGAATGAAACACTGCCAGGTTCTGAGCACTTAACAGACACATTTACAGGACAAAGAAAGCGGTAAAATATGCAGGGTCTCAGGAGAGATCCTCTTATTGGTTTTCTCCTGGGAAGCCTTTCAGATCCACTCAGCCCTGAGGGGGGCTTCCCTGTTGGAGACTAGGCCCTCTACCACTCACCTTAAAGGAAAGATCCCCATTTTCTTCAGAAAGCTGGCTGATCTTGCGATCCATCTGGCTCTTTTCTGTCTTCAGGTCTTGGCACTGCTTCAGTGTGTCATGCAGCCGCATAGTGAGGCTTATGGGGGAGGGAAGCAGTGAGAAGAGCGTGGCCCACTGCCAGGTGCAAGCAGGGGCTGGGAGCTGAAGGCAGGAGGAAGGCTCTACCTCTCATTCTTGCCACGTAGCTCTTCCAGCTCCCTGGGCTCTGGTGGGCTGGCTGCCTGCTTCTCATTGAGCAGAGCCAAGCGGTCAATGCGTTGCTGCATCAGCGCTAGCTGTGTGTCTGCCAGGGTTGGCGGAAAGGGGATAAGAATGAGCATAGAGCTAAGCGGGTGAAGGGGAGGAGGAATAAGGCATATAATCTAAGGGGCAAGGACAGAGTGTACCTACCAGTAGGTCTGACTGCCCAGGACAACATGATAGGCAAATCCAGAAAGCCAGGTACCAGGCACCTACCTTTCTCGGTGAGCAGCTTGCGGTTCTCGGCCAGCTCCAGCTCCAGCTCGTCCCTATTGTTTCTCTCATCTGCAAGCTGCTTCTTCAGCCGTCTCACTTGGAATTGTGGGGTATGCAGGATGTCGCCCATGGGGGAGGCGGGAGATCCTACAAGGAAGCTGAGGAAAGAGGTGACCCAGAAGTCATGGTCAGAGCTTGAAACTTGAGGGCTGAAGCAACAGGCAAGAACCAGGAATGGTGGGAGGAGTGGGGTCTGTGGCCACACACTGGCTGGGCTCTTTGCAACACTGTGTCAGGACTTGTGGCATGACCTTGAGGAACTGTTTTTCCCTTTTCTAAGCCTTAAATTTTCTGTGGGAGGAAAAAAAAATTTCTCCTTATCTCTGCAGGACTGCTCTGAGGAGAGGGACTTCAATGCTGTCCCTAAGGACAAAGTGTATTTCAGAAACAGTAATTGCCTTTGCAGACAGCCTTCTATCTCAAACAGATCCCAACCAATTCCTCCATTTACTAAAGGTGAAATGAGGAACTGTCAGCCTCTAGGCTGTAAGGATATGAAAACTGGACACCAAATTTATTTTAGGAGATGGTCCGCACATACTTGTTCCCACTGGAAGAGGAGGCAACGTTCTGTAGTTCTACAAAGCGAATCTCCTTTTTGGTCTGGTGGCTGGGTGGGGAGGGCTTGTCAGAGACGGTGCTGGAACATGTGGATGGGCCAGGAGCTGGTGGGGAAACACATGGACAAACCACTCACAGAACAATTCCCAAGAGACTGAAGAGATTTGTACCTTTATTCAATTTAAAATCAATGTAATGGAGATGAATCCAAAAACTCCTACATATAAACTCTATAGTGTACAGCCACTGGGCAGAACCTGAAGTCTGGTGCCTGGGTTTATCTAGGAGTGTCCCTAAGCCAAACTGAGTGATGTCCTGTCCACAGATAACCAGTATTGAGTACCATAGAGGAGGTTCCAATGTGGACCAAGCTAACACAGCAGCGGCAATTTGAGAGCCCCAAGACAAGACCACCTTCTGCTCTCCGACAACCTCTCACCTCGAAGTCACAGGCTTCCTTTCTAAATCCTCCCATGCTGAAATCTCTTGCCACCAACATACCCTTTCTCAAAACGGCCCCTGGCTTTAGTTCCCATGACTACTTTCACAGGATCCCCTACCTCTGTAACCACCACTCAAATGGTTTTCCTTATTTTATCTTCTGTCCTCTACCTCCCCTTGAAATGTCAGTGCTTCCCAGAGTTCTGACTGGGCCTCCTTGTCTCTGTCAGTGTCCATGGCTTCAGAGACAGCACTCACACACAATGATTTTCAAAAACCTGGTTCTGGCCCAGAGCAACCTCATGCACTCCAACACTTCCCTCCACCTGCAGGTCTCAGAAGGACCCTGAATTTGAGAAACAAATTCAATGGCTACAGGATAATTTGCTTATACCTATTCCTAACATTCTGGGCCTCCCTCCATGATACCTGGATGACAGGCAGGACTCTAACCTTCTTACTATACTTCTCACCCAGGCACTGAGACACTAGGCACCATTCTGTTCTAGCATTTACATTCCCCATCACACTTAACTGTTAACTTAGGCTTCTGCCTTCTCATCTAGACACAGCCCCATGAGGGGAGGAAACACTTCACAGACAGCCTGTGCACTTAAGGTTCCCAAGCCTAGAGTAGTGTTTCAAAAATTAAACTAAAAAGTGGAGGAGAAGTCAAGGATAACCTAAAAGATGATCAGTCATCAGTACTTGTTAGTGGTGTCGGAACGAGCTCCTCAGGAGAAATCTCCTACCCCCTACGCACTTCCCGAGCATCACACAGCCTGGCGTCAGGAGCAGGAACAACCCCTCCCCGCATGTCGGCTGCTCAGGCTCCTGGATGAAGGGAGCCTCAGGAGCATGTCCTTACTCACCTTTCTGTAAGAAGCTCTCTAGGTCTTCAGTAAGGTTTAGCCCATCCTCAAGGTCCAACACGAATTTGAGAATGACAGCTAACTCAACCTGAGCCACAGAGAGAGATAAGACCATCAGGTCCAGTTCCAGAAGTACCTGATGGACAGCTCCAGCCTGGCATTTCTAGCCCTGGAGCCTACCAGATCCCATTCTTCCTTTCGGATTCTGAAACCACTGCCCCACCAGGAACATTCCCCTGTGGACTCAAAGTCAAACAAGCTCCCAACTGACTTCACTCCTGATTACAAGGAAGATCAACAAGCCAACAGGGGAACATACTTGGGAATTCTGGATTACCCTGATTGTTTCTATGAAAACACTTCAGGGGCTCATGCAAAGCTTATTAAACTGTACAATCTTTTACTGCCTAAGTTCCAAAGCTACTATGCTGGTCTGATCTTCCTGGCCAACTCTGTTGTCCCTTATTTCTTTAATATTTTTGTCAGTGTACACAGATGGCACAACATTTCTACCATATTGACAGACCACAGCTCTCTGGACACAGCCCAGATCAATCACCTGGGTTATTACCCTGGACCCAGCCAGTTTCTGCTCTGGAAATAAAGGACAGTTGTTGACAAAGGAAGCAAAGCCAACAATAGCCCACCTGGCAGATGGCTTCCAGAAACCATGTTAATATTATCTGTAATGAAGCTGGTATTCCAATTCCTTGGTATTTAAAAACCACAGGATGGCAATTAATTTGAGCTGGATTGTCACTTTTTTACTAATTTCTCCTACTAGAGGGAAGGACAGAATAGACTATATATACAAATGAGTGTATATATATTCACATGTGCCACCCCCCCAGAAAAAGGAACAATTTTTATATATCGTGTAAACATAATAGTGAGTAAATATGCCATATTAAAAGGACTTGGACATATAGCCTTTAAGAATTTAGCAAAAATCTCTGGGAATGAGATTATTGGCAACTGCTATTTCCTTCTTTGGACTTTGTAATGTTTTCCAGATTTTCCATAATGAATGTTATTACTCTAATCATAATTTTAAAATGAAACAATATGAGCTTTAAAAAAAAATTCAAATGGGATGCGGTAAGGCATAAGCTAGGCTTGCTAGGTGGGGTGGAGGCACAGGGCTTACCTGAATCTTGTATTCAAATTGGTCCCAGTCCCTGAGGCTTTTGGAGCTCATGGTGAAATGGTACAGGAGCAGCATAATTATCTAGAAGCCAAACAGGAGGCAATCACTGAGCCGGCTGTGCCTATAGTGATCCTCCTCTGAGCTGTTCAGTGGGCTTTGAAGGAGACTCTTCCAGTGACTCTTACAACAAAGCAGCCTGAGGCCACCGCCCTTAACAGTACCAGAAACTCTTTACTGAGGACCTGACACCCAAGGCACACAAAGCCAAGTGCTAGGGTTCCTGCATGGTTCCATTCCTGAAATTATGGAACCCTGGTTATAAACTCAAGGCATCCTCTATAAACTATCACCTGGAAACAGCAGAGAATGAAGCTGACTGAACTTCAAAGGTGGGGGGAATTCCAAGTCAATGTGCAGCCTGATTCCCACCAGATACCTCTTAAGATGCATGATAATGTCTAGTAAACTAATGTCCTAAGTCTCCTAGAATTCTCTAAGGTCTTCCTCCAAGAGTCCAAGAAATCAAGCACACAAAATCTCCCTCCTGGTTAAGAGACTTCCCTACAGGTCCCTTAGGACCATCCTTCCACGCCATCAATCTAATACCCCAAAGATACCTTGGCCATTTCCAACTCTGACTCTTCCATCAATTTCTGCACAGATACCAGGCATTCTGAAGAAGAGGGACGTTTTCGATTTTCTGTAATGACAGTAATACAAAGAGACTGAGCATCTGCAAGACAAATTCAGAAACTTGCCTGAGAGTCGAGGACCAGTGCTGCCCCGCACACAGTTATGAGATGTGGGCCTCCATAGTCCCGTGTCCCATCTTTCTCAACATAATTCTCCATCTGAAGTCTACCTTAGACAATCTAACGGCTAGAAGGATAGTTCAGAGACAAAGCAGGCTGGGCACTCACAGCAACTTCGGGTTACAGTACTGTGCTCATTAACTCCAACTTAGCACAACAGAGAAGGAACCTAGAGATTCCAGGTCAACCTAGAATCTTGTCCCAAAGAAGATCTGCAGTGGAGTCAGACCAGGAAACTTGGGAGACACCTGGCCCTTGGGCTATCTTAGGATATGGGCCCAATTACTAATACTATATGTAATTATATTACCGCCTTTCCTAGAAATCTCTTGAGGTAGAAATGGTAGATAAAAAGATCTGAACCCTGCTTTAAAAAAAAAAAAAAAGAGAAATGGTAGATAAGCTTACCATGTTAAAAGTGAGGAATCTGAAGCTCAAGGCTGCTTCTAGTGTTGTCGTAGAAGCTTTATACGTGTTCTCAACAAAGCTAAGAGTAATTGTGATCTTCAGTAATGGCCAAGAACTGAATCTAAATCTATCTTTGCTTCTGCATCTGTTGTCCAAGCAACTGAGGTAAAGTTATATTGAAAACTGTTCTTATGAGGGAAAAAAATATCCTTCCATTTCTTCTTCCTCAGAGAGGACGGAAATAGGAATCTAAGGAGATAAGTTTTGAAGCAAATTCTCTGGCTCTAGCTAGACCTCTGGGATTGACTACTTTGGCTCTGAAGGGACTCCTCATGCTTGGCTGGTGTAGGTATTACCTGACCTAGCAGTTACTGCAGCTCTATGCTGAAGACAAAGGAAACGTAGACCTTTTCTCAAGACACCTGTGAATGATGCTGCTGGACTCCGAGTCCCAGGAGCTGAGGAAGTACCCCGTGCCAACTAGGGAAGAAAGGTGCTTACTCTGCAGAAAAGTGCACACAAAGTCCAATCTCTCTGCTACAGACTTCTTTATGACATGCTGCCCTTCTTCAGTGCCACGGCTAGAAAGAGAGAAAATGTTAAAATCAGATCACTAAGCAATCTGCCCTTCCTTGCTGCTGCATTCCATATTACCACCGCCTTCCTTCAGGACTAGCTCTGGGATACAGAGAAGAAGCCAAGACACTGTTTATTCAGATGCAATTGTGTGGTGGGTGACATGTGGAGATTTGAGGCATGAGATTTTTCTAGAAAAAAATAGCACTCTGTCACCCTACTTATGAGAAATCTTTGTGGGAAGGGCACCGAGAGAAGAAAGAGGCAGCACAAATTAATGGGAAGCCAAGTCAGACAATCTCTAACAGTTCAACTGCAAAAGGTCAGAAAATCTAGAAAAATATAGGAAATATGACAAGGGAAAAATGGAAAGAGAGAAGGCTTTGAAGTAACAGAGCAAAGCCCAACACACACTAAGTTGAAGGTTATGTTAGCTAAAGTCTTGGTCAGCAGCTACTGTACGACAAAGTGCAAAGTGAGGAAAAGGAGAGAACCTACAGGGGGAGCTCTCACACAGCCTGGGACTTAACACCTGGACCCTCCCACAGTTTCATTTTCAGAGGTGAGTTATTTTTACTTCAAATAGAAAGCCACCAAGACCTGACTTTCTGTTTAGTCTATGGTTGGAAATACTGATTAAAAGGGGCTAGTCCTCAGAATCTGAATTTCTAGGTTCCTTCCAACTCTTGGGAGTACAAGGCAGGCTCTAGACTATCCTGTGGCTAAAGACAACCTGCCCAGCACAAGCAGCATTCAATCTAAGTGAGTACCTCCCCATCTCCCACACAATTAGAAAGCTGCTTCCAAGCCGAACTCCCCACAAGCAGCTTTTTGCATGGCTGATCTACAAAGCATCCACGAAATATTTTTCAAGGATTTCCAAATGATCCACATTCCCTATTCACCCACAACCTAGAACAACCCCATCCTTCCTTCCCTCAGTTTACAGCAGAATTTAAGTGTGACATTGTTATATGCTGTTGAGTCAGAACTGACTTAGAGCTGATCCTCTGATGAGTTTTCAGAGGCTGTAAATTGCACAGGGGAAGATTGCCCATCTTTCTCCTGTATAGCTGGTGGAGTCAAATAATTTGCCTTCAGGTTGACAGTGAAACTCTTTATAACTAGGCCACCAGTGCTCCCTTCAGGTACTGCAGAATTAATCTTAGTCCATTAATCAAAGGAGTCCAAGGAGCCTTGGTGGTATAGCCCATCATGTATTAGGCTGCTAACCAAAAGCTAAGTGGTTCTAATCCCCTAATGGCTTCATGAGAGAAAACTAAGCAATCTCCTCCTCTAAGAATTTACTATCTTAAAAACCCAATGGAGGATCACCATGAGTTGAAATTAACTTAAGAGCAGTGGATGTGGATTTTTTTTTTAATTAGTTTGTTTGAGACCATTAAATACAGATGTAGAGAGGAGAGGATTCTCACCTTAAATGTTTAAGAAAAGCACAGTTAAAAACCCAATCAAGCATTTTCTAAAGAACAAGATAAAATACTTCTTAAACCTATTTGTACGTTGTGTTGTGTACCATTAAGTCAGAACTGAGGCATAGGTGATCCTCCAGCATGTTTTCAGATCATTCAGGAGGCTGGACTTTATGAGGAGGAACGTGGCATCAGGATTGGAGGAAGACTGATCAACAACCTGCGTTAGAAAGATGATAAAACCCTGCTTGCTGAAACTGAAGAAGACCTGAAGCGCTTACTGCAGAAGGTCAAGGACTATAGTCTTCAATATGGATTGAAGCTTAACATCAAGACAACAAAAATTCTCACCACAGGGCCAACTGGCAGCACCATGATAGATGGAGAGAAGATTGAGGTTGCTAACAATTTTAGCTTGCTTGACTCCACAATCAACACTCTTGGCATTGTTATTCTTGACTGTCATTGAGTTGAGCACACTCACAGTGACCTTATGAACAAAAAGCCTGAAGCCATTCTATAACTATCAACATTTAGCAAAGTTCATAGTCTTGGCACTAGCAGTCAGGAAATCAAAAGACAAATTGCACGGGGGGAGCGTGCTGACAGAGACCTCTCCAAAGTGCTAAATAGCAATGCTGTCCGTCTAGAGATGACGGTGTGCCCAATTCAGGCCATGGTCTTTGAAATTACTTGCTATGCATAAGAAAGCTGGAAAATGACAAAGGATGACAGAAGAAGAATCGATGCCTTTTGAGTTGTGGTGCTGAAGAAGAGTCTTGAACATATCATGGACGGCCAAGAAAATAAGTTGGTTTATCTTTGGAAAGGGTGAAACCAAGTTTCTCCTTAGAGGCTAGAATTTTAAAGCTCTGTCTCACATACTTTGGGCACATGGCCAGGAGGAACGGGTCCTTGGAGAAGGACATCATGCTTGGAAGGGTGGAGGAACAGAGAAGGGGAGGAAGACCTTGCATAAGATGGGCTGACACAGTAACTGGGGTGATGGAGTGTGTCAGAGTCAGTGGGACTGGCTCAGGATAGGTCAGAGTTAGAGCTACTGTACATATGGTTGCTATGAGTCACAGGTGACTCAATGGCACGTAATAACAACAACAACACACCTATTTGATCACAAAACCTCTTTTTCCACCAAGTGTCTGGTGTAAGTAATGCTCCATGAGACATGCTTGTCTGAAAGAAATCCAGTCTATCCTTCAAGACTATATTTAAGTCTCATCTTTGATAATCATCCATAACTAGTGCTGCTACCTTTACCATCTCTCTAGGGAACTGCTATGAATTCACAGATAAAACTTAATCATTTATAATTGATCACTTTGTACTTGGCAGAAAGCTAAGGACATAGTAGGTACGCAGTACATGTGGGCTTTCTGAATGCAGAAAGAAACTTTACTGATGATAGCCCAAATCCATGTCAGTAAGACAAACGCTAACATTAGGTTTTTCTGATTCACTGCCTCCACTGAACTATACCATCTACTGACAAGAAATGGGCTGCCCTTCCACTTCAGTCTACTCAAATAGAAAGGGAAACTTGTCTCACCAGTGAATTTTCCCACAGAGAAGGTCAACAGCCAAGGAGCAAGTCCTACCCAACTCCCGTGGCTTCTGTCTGTCCACACACTCTGCTATCGCCCACTCTCTTTAGGTGGGAACTAAGCATCTGCTTTAAGTCAGCACAAGTAACTGCACTAGAAAGGCAGCAACCAGAACACAATAACCAAGAACCTGTTTTCCATTCCCAAAGGAAGATGGTCAGCACTGTCGTAGATCTGAGATGGAGATCAAGGTTAACTTGGAATTTTAATAGCTATACCTCCAACACACATAGACTTCCTTCCGGGGGACCGAATGGGGGAAAGGGGGTAGAGAGAAGGATGGTGATTAGGAATTGTTGTGTACATCAAGTTAGAACCAACCCACAGCTGACCCTTCAGCAGGTTTTCAGAGGCAGTTTAATTGCACAGGAGGAGGCTGCCCATCTTTCTCCTGCGAAGCAGCTGGTGGACTCAAACCACATGCTTTTGGATTGCAGCGCAGCTTCTTACCACTAGGCCCCAAAGCTCCTTGATAAGGAATTAGTACCAACAAAAGACTGGATGCAAAGATATCCTGCATGGTAACTAGGAGAGAAAATGGTAGTGCCTGAACCAAAAGTCTCTTGGTTGTGGTTAAGCGTTCAACTGGTAACTGGAAAGCTGGCCATTTGAAACCATGCAGAAGCTTCTCAGAAAAAACGCCTGTTTCTATAGGCCCAGGCCTTGCCAATGCTATGGTGCACAGGCTATTCTGTCCACACAGGTTTGACACAAGTCAGGAACAACTCAATTGCAACAAGCTTTGGTACCAAAACAAGAACAGTGATTTCTTTCAGAGTCCCTGTTTCAGATGCACTACAGTAGCATGGTCCTAAGGGCTTTACAAAAATTCTACAATCCCGATTTCAACAGATACTATGGAAACCACCCAATGTGGGGTACCTGGCTTCCTAAACTGCTGATGGAGAATACTAGCTACACCTTCATACATTCATTCAGCAAACATTAAAACTTCATTGGCTTTTCATTTAGAATTGTCACCTTGCAGTAATTCACCAAAATGATGAACACAAAGGGAAAAAGAGAGGCATCGCTACAGGTCCACCTAGTGTTGTGCTTTACTTTACCTCACAGAAAACAGCATTTTAAAAAACTAAAAACACCAACCAAATTGAAAGTTTGTGGCACCCCTGTGCTCAGCACCCTTTTCCCAACTCTTCACTTTGTCCCTATGCCACATTTTGCTAATTATCACAATATTTCACGCTTTTTCATAATGCTATGCAAACTCCACACACTATGTTACAGTATAAACTTGTATACGTATCAGGTAACCAAAACATTCATGTGATTTGCCTACTGAAGTACTTTCTTTATTCTGGTGGTCTGAAAACAAACTGGCCATCTCTCCAAGGTAATATTCCCTAGTGCTTTCTGGAAAACATGAAGTTGTTCATTTGGACACATACATGAGTATTTATAATAAAAACTATATTGTGGACATCAAGGGAATGGGCACTGTTCAAAAAGGAATGTTCCACAAATGTTACCATGGGAAAATTGGGAGAGTCTACAATAGTATCCAGTATAGTGTTGGCAAGACTGTAAACAAGAAAAACTCTTGCCAGGAAAATGAATATACTGAGCACTTTAAATAAGCTAAGAGTGAAGATGCTTTCTGAAATATATGAAGGTAAATAATCAGAAAAAGAAGAAAGTCAAAGATAGCGGTACCTGGGTTCAACTGAATCGTTAGTCTAATCCACCCCCACAGCAATACACTTTGTGAAAACTGATGGGAAGAAGCCTGAACAGCTAGAACTTGTTCTCTCTGAATTTAGGTTATAACAATAGAGAGAAAAAAAAAATACAAGACTTCTGGGGTGTAATCTTTCCAGGTGCTACTTAAGGACCTCTGGTGCCACACTGGTTAAGTGCTTGAGTGCCAACTGAAAGATGAGCAGATCAACCTAAGTACTGGCCTGCAGGAGAAAGATCTGGTACCCTAGTCCTAGAAAGACAACAGCCTAGAAAACACTGTGGAGCAGTTCTACCCTCTCATACAGGGCTGCTATAATTTGAAGTCGGCTCTAACCACAGAAGATTCTTTTCCTCAAATGTTAAGATCTTCCCTTTTTCTCTCCTGACCCCATAGGTTGCAAAAAGAAGGACCGTATGATAGTGATGAGTGAGGGGCAGCTAGCTGTAGGACACTGCAAAGTCAGGAAAGGGAGCAGGTTCTGGAACAGCAAAGCACAAAGACCGGGAGGCTTCTCTGTTCAAGAGTGAGGAAGCACTAGCCTCTTCCATTGTCAAAGGCTCAGCTTAATGTGGTCTCATCGCTAGACTCCAATGGCATGGGACCTCCCCGTCCTGCCCGTGTTTTCTGGACATAATTGTGACCAAAGAAAGGGAATAAATACAGTTCCCACTCCAGTATGAAGCCCCGAGGCTGGAGAAGGGCACGTATATTTACTCACATGCTGTCAATGATCTTCAAGAAGACGCTGCAGTCCTGGAGCTGCAGCACAGTCTCCACAGGGTCCGCCATGCGCAGGCTGTTCACCTGTGAGGCAAAGGGAAGAGTTTGGTCAAGTAATTACTGTACTAGAAATGCCTTCCCCGGATGTGGACAATTTTCAGCATATTATCAATACCCACAGTTTAGGCTACAAGAATGATGAACCAGATGGTGCCAGGATTTCAGTTTCCTAAAAAGTCTGCTCCTGCACCCCATTTGTAAAGATTACATTCTTCAATAGCAGCCCCTTGAAATGCTACCAGCAGAGTCCTTCCTTTGGCTTAAAGTAAGGAAGAGCTTAAATTCTTCTAAGATATTCTAACATTCTCAAAAATTCATCACTGTTTAATCCACTAGTAAATTAGAGGCTATAAATCGCAAGGGAGTATAATACTCATCTTTCTCCCAAGGAGCAGATGGTGGATTCAAACCACTTAACCTTTGTGTTGGCAGCACATAACTCTTTACCTACTAGGCTCCCAAAGATATAATTAGGTTCTGTAAGGAGCTCTGGTGGCCTAGTGGCAAGAAGTTACGCTGTAATCCAGAAGACATGCAGTTCGAGGCCACCAGCTGCTCCATGGGAGAAGGATGGGCAATCTCCTTCCATTCCATGCAATTAACTGCATCCTGCTAAGGATTGGTTCCAACTCGACAGTACACAACAACAACAAGGATGTATTAAGTAATGTGGCTCCTAACCTAAAGTTGGCATCCGGAATCCACCTATCATTCTGTGGGACAAAAATGTACTGGTCTAGTCCTGTAGCAATTATTGTTGTCATTCTGATGTGTCGTCGAATAGCCTCTCATTCGTAGCAACCCTATGTACAACAGCTCTGAAGCCTGCCCTATCCTGAGCCAGTCTGACTCTGATACACCTATCCCCATTACTCCAGTTACTGTCACTCCATCTCATCCAGGGTCTTCCTCTCCTGCACTGTCCCTCCACCCTTCTGAGCACGATGTCCCTTCTCCAAGGATCGGTCCCTCCTAGCCATGTGTATAAAGTATGAGACAGAGCTTCAAAATCCTAACCTCCGAGGAGAAACTTGGTTTCGCTCTCTCCAAGAAAGACCTATTTGTTTTCTTGGTGGTCCATGGTATGTTCAAGACTCTTCTGCATCACAACTCAAAGTTATCTACTCTTCTTCTATCATCTTTAGTCACTGTCAAACTCTTTGACACATAGCAAGTAATTGCAAAAATCATGGCCTGGTTCAGGTGCACCTTAGTTTCTAGACTGACATTATTGAATCTCAGTTCTCTGGAGAGGTCCCTGACAGCAGATTTTCCCAGTGCAATTTGTCTTTTAATTTCCTGACTGCTAGTTCCAAGAGTATTGATTGTGGATCTGATGAGCAAATGGAAATTGTTAACAATCTCAGTCTCTTCTCCATCTACTATAGTGCTGCCAATTAGTCCAGTGGTGAGAAACATTGTCTTCTAGATGTTGAGTTTAAATCCATATTGGAGTTCTTGACTTTCTGCACCAAATGTTTCACTGAGGTCTTCCTCAGTTTCAGCAGCAAGGTTGTGTAATCTGCATAATGCAGATTCTGGATTAGTCTTCCTCCAATCCTGATGCCAAATTCCTCCTCATAAAGCCCAGCCTCCTGAATGATCTTTCCTGCATACA